CAACTGTGATCAGCTGTGGTCATTTTGATTAGCTCAGCATGAAAAGAGCTTTCCTGGAGCATTTCAGTCCTTGGTAATGCAACTGAAGCAAACAATCAATCAACTATGGTTGGCAAGGCACTGTCAAAAGACTTCTGGGATAAAGTTGTGGACAGGCACAAGTTAGGAGATGAATACAAAAAAAATTCATAGGCTTTATCTACAGGTGCATCTCAATAAATTAGAATGTCGTGGAAAAGTTCAATAGATGAGCTGAAGGCCACTGTTAAAGAAACCTGTGCTTCCATACCACCTCAGCAGTGCCACAAACTGATCACCTCCATGCTACGCCGAATTGAGGCAGTAATTAAAGCAAAAGGAGCCCCTACCAAGTATTGAGTACATGTACAGTAAATGAACATACTTTCCAGAAGGCCAACAATTCACTAAAAATGTTTTTTTTATTGGTCTTATGAAGTATTCTAATTTTTTGAGATAGTGAATTGGTGGGTTTTTGTTAAATGTGAGCCAAAATCATCACAATTAAAAGAACCAAAGACTTAAACTACTTCAGTCTGTGTGCATTGAATTAATTTAATACACGAGTTTCACAATTTGAGTTGAATTACTGAAATAAATGAACTTTTCCACGACATTCTAATTTATTGAGATGCACCTGTATGCCTAGAAGCACAGTGAAATCTATTGTGGAAGGTATTTGGTACAACACAGACCCTCCCTGGATCAGGATGTCACTCCAAACTGGATGAAAGATCGAAGAGGAAACTGGTCAGAGAGGCGACCAAGAGGCCTACAGCAACTCTGAAGCAGTTGCAGGAATTTATGACAAAGAGTGGTCATTGTATGCATGTGATAGCAATATCACACAATTCTCCACAAATGTGGCTCGTATGGGAGGGTTGCAAGGAAAAGGCCACTCCTCAAGAAAGGCCACATGCAGTCACGACTGAGCGTTGCCAAAACTCACCTTGAAGATTCTGAGGCAGATGAGACTAAAATTGAATTATTTGGCCTCAACACCAAACGATATGTCTGGCGGAAATACAATACAACACGCCATCCAAATAACAGCATTCCTTCGATAAAGCATGGAGGAGGTAATATTCTGTTATGGGGTGTTTCTCTGCAGCAAAATACCATCAAATTCTCGAGGAAAATCTGCTGCCCTCTGCCAGAAAGTTGTCAATGGGAAAAGGGTTTACCTTGCAACATGACAATGACCCAAAGCACACAGCAAAATTGAGCACACAGTGGTTGAAGAAGAAAAAGGTGAATGTCCTTGCATGGCCTAGTCAGAGCCCAGAATTAAACCCCATTGAAAATCTGTGGAATGACTTGAAGACTGCAGTCCACAAACGCTCACCATCAAATTTAACTGAACTTGAGCAATTCTGTAAAGAAGAGTGGGCAAATATTGCAGTCTACAGGGGCGTGTCTACAGCATTTTAAATGGGGGGGCCAGCACTGGCTCAAAAGAGGGTGGTTGGGGGGGACTGGCCCCCCGGCTCAAAAGAGGGTGGCCGGGGGGGGGTTGTGTTTGCGGAACGATGTCTGTTAAAAGCACACGTCCAGTTTTGTGTGAGTGAACGAAATCCGCTTGGGAGTGGAGAGATTCGTCCTTGCGCACATGGATCGCGTAACATTATGCGCTCTCGACATTGTCATTAAGATCACACTATAGAAACCGCCTAAAATTAGAAATTTACTAAAAACAAGCCTATGGCAAGACATCTGGTAGGGGGGGGGCACCTGGGGTGGCCAGCCAAATTTCAGGGGGTGCTGGTGCCACCCCTGGCCACCACGTAGACACGCCCCTGGCAGTCTAGATGTGCAAAGTTAGTAGAGACAAATCCCAACAGACTAAAGTCTGTAATTAAAGCAAAAGGTGGTTCAACAAAATACTGACACAAGGAGGTGATCCTTTTTCCAACTGAGTGATTTTTTTTTTTATTGTTTTTGTTGGTGTTATATATTTCACTTGGATGTTATAAGTTGAGTAAATACAGCTGGCTAAAACAAAAACTGTGTCCGTCTGTCACTGTATATATATATTTATTTTAACATCACTGTTTTTATTGTATTTCAGAATAAATGCAGCCTTCTTTAAAAAAACCTAAGCAACATACTGTATACTGTATATCTTAATTTAAATATATTTATTATATATTTATATAATGTATATTAAATATAATACATATTAAATATAGCTTATTTAAATATGAGTACAAATGAACAATGCTTACCATCAAATAATCCAGTATCTTCTGTTGTTCTGAGATACGTGACTGAAAAAACAAACAAAGAAATCAAGTGTAAAGTGTCTCTGGAGTGACTGCAGTATTCCATTAAATCAGCAAGTAGAAAGTCTCACCAAGGGCCCAGACGGCGGCTCCCAGCCCTCCCAGTATGATCAAGATCAGAGCTACCGCAGCGGCCACCCGACACCGGCTGAAGATACTCATCCCTGGACTTCCTGTAGGACAGAAACCAACACTTTCAGTGCAGGACAAAGCATATATTTAAAGCAGTAGTTTAAGATTTTGTGAACGTTAAAATTCATGCCTGTGCACAAACACATAAAGCATGACAGAGCTGATGAAAAGAACAACCATGAATGAGATCAATAGTCCAAAATCATCAATTCCTCACTGCTAAAGTAAACGTGGGACATCATCTCAGTGCCATGATCAGCATCTTCTTAGATGTTTATACTGAAATGAAAAGACCCTAATTATCTCACAAGAGTTTCCTATAAGATGCTTAGTTCCAGAGAAAATCTCAACAATGTCATAGAGGGAACTCTGTTCAGATTTGACAAGATACCAAAGTCTGGAATCAAATGATTTCAGTATGACCTCAAAGATATTCATAAAATTCAGTTAAAAACTATATATAAACAGCTGTGTATATATATGTATATATATATGTATATATATATATATATATATAAAGTTTACATTTTGTTTTTACTTTGATTTAAAGCTAATGATATGACAATATAAGGAGAAAAAGCATGATAGGTGGATTTCTTGCATGTGCCTGGTGGTAAATGTGTAAAATGCTGTTTCTGTCAAAAATAATATTTTTAAGAAAATAATATACAGGTTTAAGTCTCGTGAGCTATAAAAGGGGTAACCTCTGAGCAATAAATCTTCCTTTGGGAGTAGTAGGAAATATACACACCAGACTCAAACCTGCATCCCTACATTGCAAACACATACATTACCGTACCAATGAGCCAAGGCTCCAACTAAACTACATTCAATGACAAGAATGAGCAGGGATAACCAGAATTAACTTTATATGGACTTTTTAATCATATTTAGCAAACATGTAGGAGATGAGACGTGTAGGATTTTGTGATTGATAGGCTTCAGATTCTGCTAAAATGCACAGGGGCTTCTGCACATGCAGCTGCCATGTGGACCATCACAAAACATGTGTTTTTCTGACTGTGAAGAGCTTGTGCAGAAGCTATGGTGTGATGATTAACATGCGACATCAGACTACAGCAAAGACTGTGCTGTCTGATAAGCCCAGAGCAAACAAACACACAAAACAAGTTGCTGCAGCTCTGCATCAGGACTGGACTGACAAGCCTTTGGGTCATATGGACATATCACGTAGAAACAACTCTTTACAGTATTATGATCCTCATGAATTAAACAAGCACAAAAAAGTATAAAAATCTGTAATTGCCTGAAGGTGTAAAATCACTTGGTTTACCCAAAAATTAAAATTCTGTCATCATTCTTTCTTCTGTGGGACACAAAATAATATATTTTGAAGAACGCTAGTAACCAAGCATTTTGGGTTCCATTGACTTCCAGAGTATGGACAAAAATACTATAGTAGTTAATGGGACGCAAAACTGTTTGATTACCAACTTTATTAAAAAATATCGCCTTCTGTATTCCACAGAAGAAAGAAAAGCATACAGGTTTGAAATGAGTAAATGATTATATAATCTTCATTTTTGGGTGGACTATCTTTTTGAGAACAATGTGTGATGTGTTTGCTGGGAAATTCGTTCATGCTGGAGCTTGATGAACCATACTCTCAGCAGTTCTGAGGGAATCACAGGTCATGGTCACGGATATATAACAGATGGAAAGTGATGTTAGACTGATGTTTCTCACATGATGAGAAAAATGGTGGTGGGCTTCTGTTTTTACTTTCATTGAACTTAATTTCAAACACCAAGACCTGAGATAAGTACCCTAAAGTCACTAACGTTATTTCTTACATACAGTGGGTACGGAAAGTATTCAGACCCCCTTAAATTTTTCACTCTTTGTTATATTGCAGCCATTTGCTATATCACGTAGAAACAACTCTTTACAGTATTATGATCCTCATGAATTAAACAAGCACAAAAAAGTATAAAAATCTGTAATTGCCTGAAGGTGTAAAATCACTTGGTTTACCCAAAAATTAAAATTCTGTCATCATTCTTTCTTCTGTGGGACACAAAATAATATATTTTGAAGAACGCTAGTAACCAAGCATTTTGGGTTCCATTGACTTCCAGAGTATGGACAAAAATACTATAGTAGTTAATGGGACGCAAAACTGTTTGATTACCAACTTTATTAAAAAATATCGCCTTCTGTATTCCACAGAAGAAAGAAAAGCATACAGGTTTGAAATGAGTAAATGATTATATAATCTTCATTTTTGGGTGGACTATCTTTTTGAGAACAATGTGTGATGTGTTTGCTGGGAAATTCGTTCATGCTGGAGCTTGATGAACCATACTCTCAGCAGTTCTGAGGGAATCACAGGTCATGGTCACGGATATATAACAGATGGAAAGTGATGTTAGACTGATGTTTCTCACATGATGAGAAAAATGGTGGTGGGCTTCTGTTTTTACTTTCATTGAACTTAATTTCAAACACCAAGACCTGAGATAAGTACCCTAAAGTCACTAACGTTATTTCTTACATACAGTACACTACAGTATATAAGAAATATTGTACGCTCACACGGTTGTTATAGCAAATTAAAACCTAACATGGTCATCCCCTTAACACGAAGGGAAAGAAATGTATTCAGCAGTAATGGTTATTCTCCCATTCTTTACACAAATGGTTTCTCAAAAAATTATTTAAGAAGTTGCAATTGTTTTATTGTAGTATTTGCAAATAAAGAGACAGCAAACTACACTAGCATTCAGTGGTCTTGGGTCAGAAATTAATACTTTTACTCAGCAAGTTAATGCATTCAATTGATCAAAAGTGAAAGTAAAGACATTTATAATGTTACAAAAGATTTCTATTTCAAATAAATAAAAAATATCAGGGTTTCCACAAAATATAAAGCTGCACAGCTATTTTCAACACTGATTTGATCAAATAAACACAGCCTTCACTCTTAAAAATAAAGGTGCTTCACATTGCCATAGAAGAACCTTTTTGCCCAAATGGTTCCATAAAGAACCTTTAACATCTGAAGAACCTTTCTGTTTCACAAAGGGTTCTTTGTGGTGAAAGAAGGTTCTTCAGATTATAAAAAGGTAAGAAAGGGATGGTTCTTTAAAGAACCTTTGACAGAATGGTTCTTTGTGGAACCAAAAATGGTTCTTCTATAGCATCGCTTGAAGAACCTTTTGAAGCACCTTTATTTTTAAGAGTGTTGGTGAGCATAAGAGACTACTTTCATGAAAAAATCGTACCGACCCCAAACTTTTAATTAATAGACCTAGTCAGATTAGACAGCATATTAAATGTACATGAAAACGAGACTTACAATCTATGGCACGCACTGTATAAAGGTCCTACATCATGTCATTTACCCTACCTAAGGTGTATAATGCAGAAAATCATTTGTCTGTGTGAATTATGCCATTAAGCGGCTTTCCAGAGGGCATCTAATAACACAACCAATTTTAAATCTAGATCAGATGTTGGACTGAAACAGCATCGGTTGCAGTTCTAGTTGTGAAATTTCTTGGTCATTGATGCAAGCTGCTAAACAATGCGCTTGAAACATCAGAGTATCAAGTGAAAATGAGACCATCCATATCTTACCTTGACTCTCAACTGACCCAGCTTTGAACAGTTACATTAGAGGTCAGAACAAAACTGAAACAGTGTGATGTTTTCCTCTTTGCTCTCTCTCTCTCTCATTTCATTCCTGAGGATTTCCCAACTGCCTCAGAACGTTTCTACAGCACCTGCCATGACCCATGTGACCAGAGAACAAGTAATACTTTTGTCTGAGTGGGGGTTTGTATGAGACAGAGCTTCTTCATGGTACACTGCTCTCTCTCCCTCACTCTCTCTCTCTCTCTTGCTTAAGATGGTCATACCTGGATGATTCGAGTTTTGCAGACAAATTAAAACATCACAACTGCCTTTAGCTAATGTATATCGGTTCTGAAATGTTCAAGTCTGGCCTCTACAATGAAATGCATCCACTATAAAGGACTGTTTTGGTCCAGAACATTTTTTGAAAATGCTAAACGGCTAATCTACATCAAGCAAGCAGCAAGTTATGGGAAAAAAAGTATGTTATTCTGTATATAATCCATAAATGAAGGCCTTAAAAGGTCTGAAATCAGAGCAAAAAATCTTAACAAGTAAAAATTATTATTATTTTTTTTCATAATCTAGTCTAAGAAAAACTTTAGAAGAAGAATTTAGTTTTTCTGTGCAGGTTAACAGCTGTATGGGCACATCACATCATGTCTACACACCTTTTGGCCTTTTGTCAAAGTAATACACAGATCAAGACTGACCAAAACAAATCAAGTACATGACCCATCACTGTTAATCTTTAACACAGCACTTGCCTGATGTCAAAAAGGAGAGAAATAGCTCAGTACTCACCGATCTTCTTCTCTGGCATTTTTATCCAAAACAGAAAACTGGAAAATAAACTTGGAACAGATTCCAATGATTACTCCTCAAAACCTTGATTTGTTGCTTCTTCAAACCTGAAAATGTCACGGAAAATGCTTATAAAAAGTAATCCGACCTCTGTCATGGACAAAGATCGGTTAAGTAAGTTAAATAAACCAAAGGGCAAACTGAGAAATTATTCCGAGAGTTACAGTCGGTGCTGTTATTAACAATCACTGTAAAAATGTTTTCAACATAATAATAAAAATAAAAAAAAAACTTTGTTGCCCTAAATTTAACTTGTGCATTCATGTATGTCCTTGCTACTAACTCCTAAAAGTTTCTTCATTAATAATTCAATCCAAACTGGTTGAAGCATAATGAATTATTGAATGATTTATAACTTAAAATTTTGTTTCAAATTAAACACTTTTAGAGGACTGAAAGGTGTTTAGTGTTGTGTAACTTGTGTTCAGCTACATATTCACTTTTTGTCTCTAATGTTTCCAAATATTAGCCTAACATTTATTTTCTTTCTTTATTTTTTATTAAATGTAAGTTAAAAGTTCTAAATGAATGAAAAAAAAATCATCCAGTATAAGAATGAAAAATCCAATATAACGAATTCTGTCCTGACCTGATGGTCAGTTACATAAGGAGGAAAAACAACTGACCTTTTTGAATTGTTAGTATTATTATTGTATATAAATGATCATAATGGGACGATATAAAAGCTTAATGTCTCATTCGTTTACTTCCAGTTTAGTTAATGCTCTTAATCGTAAAAACCTAAGTTCTCACCTTTACCTCTCCACTTCAGGTTCTTGGATAAACTCTTGAATAGGAACCAAAGAGATGAAGAAGTAAATCAGTGGTTTCTTCAAGATATTCGCGCTGACATTTCACTTTCCCCGGAGTCCTTCGCTCTTTTATTGTGTGTTAAATGAAGCTATTCTCCGACAGGCAGGGCAGCGCTTCTCCTCACTCTCTCTGCTCTTTCTGCGCTGTTCACTGGATAGAAACCTCCCTCTTCCGGTCAGTAGCGAGTCTCAGGAGAGCGCAGGTGGGTAAGTGTGTGCAGGCGCGCGCGCGCTGGACAGATGAACCTGTGTATGCGCAACTCATCTGATGAAGCACGTAATGAGCGATTCGACTGCGTCTGCGATATGATGCCATGTGGAAAATGTGTGCATCTCGTATGGTTTTTATAGATTTTCGAATACAAGACGAATCATTTAAATTGACCAATAATAATAATGATTATTCATATAAAACATTATCAAACAGAAAATTAATAGTTAATTATATTCATAATATCAAGGGTGTAGGTTTGATTTTGTCATTGGTGGAGACTAGAGGTCAAACAACAGATTAATAAATTACTCCAAATTTCACAAACAGTTTATGGACATAATTATAATAGTCAGACATTGAAGTGAGTACAGCTGTTTTTTGTCACTCTTCTGAAGAAGATGTCATTCACTTGTTTGGCAATGTGTCTGTACCCACACAGAGAAATTTTGGTCCGATTGTTTTTTTTTTTTTTTTTTTTTTTTTTCCTCCCCTTTTTGAAAAAAACATGGTTACTACTGTAGATAAACCATGGTAACCACAAATTAAAATCAACCACAAATGATTAAAATCTGCCTCTGGCTGCCTCAGTGAGGAGCTCTCTAGTTGTTTTAATGTTTTTGTTTAATTTTTCCTGTCTGTTGTTTTTCAGGGATGAACTGCTGAACATTCGGCAGTACACACCACACAATCTTCTACCAGTTTTTGATTACTCAGACATTTTGCTGAACATTGTAGCTGGTGTTTTAAGCGAGCGTGGGAAGCGAGCTGGTATTCTGCACCCCTGCCAGACTATGCACCCCCTTTAGGATTGCCTTATCCTAACCCCACCCCTAATCCTAACCCCTCCCCCACACCTACTCCTAAACCTACCAATACTAGGGGGTGCATAATCTGGCAGAGGTGCAGAATTCGGCACCGGGCTTCCAGCTGTTCAGAGTGAATCGTGACTCAGAATCAAGAGGGAAATCATGTGGCGGTGGATGTATGTGGAACATACATCAACGAAAGATGGTGTACAGATGTAACAAACCTCACACGTGAACTGCTAAATACAGACAGCACGTTACATGTCCTACCAGAGACAGTAATATAATGGATCACTGTTACACCACAATAAAGGATGCATATCACTCTGTCCCACGGGCAGCTTTGGGGCTCTCTGATCACTGTCTGGTTCATTTTATACCGACCGAAACTGAAATCAGCTAAACCTGTAATAAGGACTGTAAAAAGATGGACAAATGAAGCAGAGCGGGATTTACAAGCCTGCTTCGACTGCACTGATTGGAGTGTTTTTGAAGCTGCTGCCACTGATCTGGACCAGCTCACGGATTCTGTAACATCATACATCAGTTTCTGTGAGAATATGTGCATCCCTACCAGGACTCATTTAACTTACAACTATGACAAACCGTGGTTCACTGCAAAACTCAGACAGCTCGGTCAGGCCAAAGAAGATGCCTACAGGAGTGGGGACAGAGACTTGTATAAACAGGCCAAAAACACACTGACAAAGGAGATCAGAGGAACTACTCTGAAAAGCAGAGAAATCAGTTTTCTGCCAATGACCCTGCATCAGTGTAGAAAGGACTGAAAGACATCACCAACTACAAGACACCATCCCCCAGCACTGAGGTGAATCAACAACTGGCCGACGATTTGAATGAGTTCTATTGCAGGTTTGAAAAACCCTGTCTCACACCCCACACCCATTCTGACCTTCTCTCCATGGATCTATTAACACCTCCAGCAACCCCCCTCTCCCCCGCTCCTGCACTTCAGGTCTGTGAAAAAGATGTGTGTCAAGTCTTCCGGAAACAGAAGAGAAAGAAAGCACCATGCCCAGACAGTGTTACATCAGCCTGTCTAAAAATCTCTGCTGACCAGCTGGCTCCCTTCTTCACACAGATCTTCAACAGATCACTGAAGCGGTGCAAAGTCCCTTTCTGCTTCAAATGCTCCACCATCATCCCCATCCCAAAGAAACCCAAAATTACAGGACTAAATGAAGGGGGTTAAAGAGCTGGCTGTCTGGTGCTGTTATAACAACCTGGAGCTGAACACGCTCAAAACAGTGGAGATGATAGTGGACTTCAGGAGAAACCCCTCTGCTCTCCTCTCACTCACCATCATGGACAACATTGTAACAACAGTGGAGTCATTCAAGTTCCTGGGCACCACCATCTCTCAGGACCTGAAGTGGGAGCTCCACATTGTCAAGAAGGCCCAGCAGAGGCTGTACTTCCTTCGCCAGCTGCGGCGAACTGGTACACTCGTACAGTTCTACTCTGCAGTCATTGTAGTTGCAGTAACAGTTTCCCCAAAAGCATCAGCGATGCAACAGGAGAGACTGTTCGAAAGGGAAACTCTATCATTCAACTGTGCATGTATGTTTTAAAGACTTCGGCTACCTTATACTGTATGTTCTTACTCCGCCGATGTATCAAAAAGCGTGCGGTTTTCTAGCATATTTACTTTATTTCAAGTGTATTTACTTCTCAGGTAATATCAATGGTATGACATATTTCAGACGCGGCCAAAATTACAACAACAATGGTTACAAACACATATATTTATTTGTTTGATCGAAATTATTGCTAGGGACAATTTAGTAGTCGCTGTATATTGGTAGGGACATGTCCGTCCCTACTAAATTCTACGCCCTTGCAATATCATTAATTTTTTATACTAATAATAATACACAATAATAATAATCACAGCTTTGATTATTTAATATAATATTGACTATTTGATATAATATTAGAATAATAAAATGTAATATTAAAGGTCTCATGACATGCTGCTTTTTAGATGCTTTTATATAGGCTTAATTTTAATGTTAAAATATTTAGTTATAAATTGTTATTGTTCATAAAGTAACATAACATTGGGAATTATGTAGTAACAAATATATTTTTTAAAAATCATGAGACATGGGAAAAAACATGTAACTGGGAACATAATTGAATAATATAATATCAGTAATTATTATTATTATTATTATTATTATTATGCTCTTTAGTTCTTATGACTATGAATACCATAAACATGTATGCTTTATGCCCAATTTAGTATTTTACGATAATAATAATAATAATATTAATATTAATAATAATAATCACAGCTATTATTATTTACATGACGTTATAATATTATTTTTTGAAAATACTTAACATTAAATATTAAGTAAAATTCATTTTAATGTTAAAAATTATTAGTAATAGATTGTTGTTTTTCATAAAATAACATAGCATGGGAATTATGTAGTAAGAACTGGCCAGATGCAGGAAATAATGACATAATAACTGACGAAAAAGGAGGAGGAGGAACTAAAACCAGACAAGGGTGATGTTTTCAAATCTGCACAGTAAGGAAATACTTGAGGCTGCAACATGATGACGAATCTCCTTGCAGCCATATGGACCCTGACATGTTTGATTCTGTTGGGTAAGACTCACTGCACAACGATACATCAGAAGTTTTGCTTCTACTGCTGAGTATATAATTTGCTTGAGAAAGCACAGATAGGAATGCTGTTTACACTATAGAACCAGCTGTTTCTGATTAGATTCCTTCAGAATTACTCATATGCTTCCATTTCAGGCGCTCTTGCTGCTGACTGGACAGTACGTGTTCCTATGGATCCAGTCTATGCTCCTCCTGGTTCTTCTGTAGTTTTGGAGTGCACCTATGACTACCCTGAAGAGTCCGACCAGGGAATACTGCGCAAAGTGCTGACAGAGATGTGGTGTCTGAATGAAAGCCGCTGCATTACACCCAGATACGTGTACCACAGTGCAGGGATATTCCCTGAGCCCTCATACCAGGGCCGAGTCAAGTACTTGGGGCAGACAGGGAGCAAAAACTGCTCTCTGATGATATCTGATCTGAGGTCAGAAGACAGCGGCGTGTACGTGTTCCGGTTCATCACCAACCATCTGAAGGCCAAGCTACCAGGACAGAGAGGAGTGAATCTACAGGTCACACATCAGATAGAAAGTAAGAACAGTCTCTTATGCTCTGGATATGCAATATTTCATCTCATATTGCACAAAAATTAAATGTTCCAAAAGGAGGATTTTGCATAAAAAAAAAAAAAGTTTGGGTCCCCCAAAGAACTTTTCAGTGAACAGTCCTTAAAATAACCATTTTTTTGTTAGTGTAAAGAATATTTTTTCCACTGTTATGAACTTTTTGTGCATTGGAGAGATTCCATGGATGTTAAAGGTTCTTCATTGAACTATTTAAAAAAACAAACAAACAAACAAAAAAATTAACAATTTAAGTTGCTCATTTTGATCAATGAATTTCCAAAGTTTTCAGTCATTTGTCAGTGTATGGTTTAAAATCATTTTAGGATGAGGATAAATACAATTAAATTAAATATTTCAGACCCAAACATCTAATAAAATTTTCATTCTAGGCCTGGAAATCACAATTGTAAAATTTTCTGATATTTTCAAAATGTATAAGATCCCTTTAGATTCCCCTTACGTCATATATCTTTATGAATTTATAGATCACATAAAATATAACACTTTTATATTGAATAATATCACTGACTACTAAAAATGAGCAATAGTATAAAAAACTATTAGCAATAGTATAAAAACTATTTATTGCTAGTCCATGTTAGCTCAGGTCTATTAAATAATAATAACATATACAACTTTTCATTTTAATCATATATTAGTAGATTCCTTGTTTAATATTAAGATTAATTTAATTACTTTAATATAAAATAATTTTTCTTTGTTAGTTCATGCAGTTAACTAATGTTAATAAATGGATCTTTAGTTCTTATGACTATGAATACCATAAACATGTATGCTTTATGCCCAATTTAGTATTTTACGATAATAATAATAATAATATTAATATTAATAATAATAATCACAGCTATTATTATTTACATGACGTTATAATATTATTTTTTGAAAATACTTAACATTAAATATTAAGTAAAATTCATTTTAATGTTAAAAATTATTAGTAATAGATTGTTGTTTTTCATAAAATAACATAGCATGGGAATTATGTAGTAAGAACTGGCCAGATGCAGGAAATAATGACATAATAACTGACGAAAAAGGAGGAGGAGGAACTAAAACCAGACAAGGGTGATGTTTTCAAATCTGCACAGTAAGGAAATACTTGAGGCTGCAACATGATGACGAATCTCCTTGCAGCCATATGGACCCTGACATGTTTGATTCTGTTGGGTAAGACTCACTGCACAACGATACATCAGAAGTTTTGCTTCTACTGCTGAGTATATAATTTGCTTGAGAAAGCACAGATAGGAATGCTGTTTACACTATAGAACCAGCTGTTTCTGATTAGATTCCTTCAGAATTACTCATATGCTTCCATTTCAGGCGCTCTTGCTGCTGACTGGACAGTACGTGTTCCTATGGATCCAGTCTATGCTCCTCCTGGTTCTTCTGTAGTTTTGGAGTGCACCTATGACTACCCTGAAGAGTCCGACCAGGGAATACTGCGCAAAGTGCTGACAGAGATGTGGTGTCTGAATGAAAGCCGCTGCATTACACCCAGATACGTGTACCACAGTGCAGGGATATTCCCTGAGCCCTCATACCAGGGCCGAGTCAAGTACTTGGGGCAGACAGGGAGCAAAAACTGCTCTCTGATGATATCTGATCTGAGGTCAGAAGACAGCGGCGTGTACGTGTTCCGGTTCATCACCAACCATCTGAAGGCCAAGCTACCAGGACAGAGAGGAGTGAATCTACAGGTCACACATCAGATAGAAAGTAAGAACAGTCTCTTATGCTCTGGATATGCAATATTTCATCTCATATTGCACAAAAATTAAATGTTCCAAAAGGAGGATTTTGCATAAAAAAAAAAAAAGTTTGGGTCCCCCAAAGAACTTTTCAGTGAACAGTCCTTAAAATAACCATTTTTTTGTTAGTGTAAAGAATATTTTTTCCACTGTTATGAACTTTTTGTGCATTGGAGAGATTCCATGGATGTTAAAGGTTCTTCATTGAACTATTTAAAAAAACAAACAAACAAACAAAAAAATTAACAATTTAAGTTGCTAATTTTGATCAATGAATTTCCAAAGTTTTCAGTCATTTGTCAGTGTATGGTTTAAAATCATTTTAGGATGAGGATAAATACAATTAAATTAAATATTTCAGACCCAAACATCTAATAAAATTTTCATTCTAGGCCTGGAAATCACAATTGTAAAATTTTCTGATATTTTCAAAATGTATAAGATCCCTTTAGATTCCCCTTACGTCATATATCTTTATGAATTTATAGATCACATAAAATATAACACTTTTATATTGAATAATATCACTGACTACTAAAAATGAGCAATAGTATAAAAAACTATTAGCAATAGTATAAAAACTATTTATTGCTAGTCCATGTTAGCTCAGGTCTATTAAATAATAATAACATATACAACTTTTCATTTTAATCATATATTAGTAGATTCCTTGTTTAATATTAAGATTAATTTAATTACTTTAATATAAAATAATTTTTCTTTGTTAGTTCATGCAGTTAACTAATGTTAATAAATGGAACCTTATTATAATGTTACCATTCATATTAATTATTAACCAGGTTATTCCTCTGTATTATAAAATAATTAAAATGTGTTTAGCATTTCATTTACTAAAACCCCCCACAACAATGAAATATAATTGTTTAAAAATCCAAATCATATCTAACATTAAGCATCTTGACGGTTTACATAAACGTGTGCGACAAGAAAAAATATATTTTGTCTGTTGTCTATTGTTCAACTCATATAGTAAAAGCAAAACTTCCTTTTTTTAGTCCACAGCAAATGTCAGCTCTTCGCAAGAAGACGTTTCCACAAAGTTGAGGCACTTCCTCAGAGAAACCTGTCTAGCTTTCACGACCTTGACTGTGGGAGATTCATTTCAAAAACTGTGACCAGTTTACATGACATTATTTAGCACAGATAAACACATTTTTCAGCCACATTACTGACACTTTAAAATGTTTGAATACTGTGGTATAACTTGCCCATGCTAGAGGTAGCGAGGAAGTCATGTGATTGTAAGCTAGCTTGTTATTGTCTTTCTAAATGATATGTAAAATAATATAAGATATAATATCAGTACCTGAAAGTATTTGATGTCTCAAATTCTTCACAGCAAGAAGTACATCTTCATCCACTACTGGCATTGTGCTTGGAGTTATTATCATGGTTATCATAATAGCAGGCATTGTGGTACTCATCAGACGCAAGTCACGGTAAGCAAAGCATTTATTCAATAAATGTCTTGTCTGGCATCATTTCTGATCTTAGAAACTAATGGAATATGGCTTTGTTTTTCAGGGGAGGGAGGTCAAGATCACTTTAAACAAGCTATTACCACAGAGGATGAAAAAATTACTTGTGACTGTGATCAAAACAGAGATGTAAACCAATAGTTCTGCTTTTTTTTCTGTTTGTGTGCTACTTTTACATTCATTTTATGCATTTTTGCATCCATTACAGAGTCTATTATTTATCTATTTATATTACTTTCTGCTCATCAAACGACATGTTTCATTCTCATATTTCACTTTTTGCAGTCATATTTCACTTTTTGTAGTCTATTGTATATCATATTGTATCTTACTTTTTGCATGTCACTGCCGCTGCATGTCAGGGTGACGACACTGCCCTCAGCAGTCTGTAAAAAGAGAAAATAATGGTTATGTACAGATATTGTGGATTCTTACATTGTAAATCATAGAAAATCACATCTCGTTCTACCCTCTTCTGCAGATCATTTTAATCATAAAAGCACTTGGTAGTGTTTATAACACCTCACTTCCTAAAAATAAAGCAATATTCATTGAAGGAATAGTTCACCCTAAAAAATGACTATCCATCTGTTGCTATTTACTCACCCTTGAATCTATGAAGAACCTTCACACAGTTCCAGGTTGAAATAAATCAATAAATAAATAAATATATATTATATATATATATATATATGACCCTGGACCACAAAAC